TATTTTGACATAGTCCATGGACCAAATCAATTCCACCTGGTAGCCAAGGTGCTGTTTGAGTTCAGAGACCCCGAAGAGCTATTGCTTGTATCCACTTCGCTTTTGCCGGAGCGCGCTGACAAATTGCAGAAACTTTTGTACACTGATTTCCCAGAGATTCGACCGAAAGTGACCAAAGTATGGCTAGAGTCGGGTAAGTCCCCTGCGGAAGTTTACAAGCTGATGCCTATTTACGATGATGTCGTGCCTGGAGAGACCGGCACTCGAAGTAAGGAGGCGTTGGATACTTTCTACGGAAGATTTAAGGAGTGGCTCGATTACATTGACGAGTACATGGATCGCTCGATTATTTTCTCTCGCGATGACGGGATGGACAAGCGGCGAGAGGAAATGGCAAATGCGATAGCTTCGAATCCTGGTGACGATGCCATAGCTGCGACGAAGAGGGAGGAAGTTCTGAATGAACTACGGAGGGACACGACCGTACAGAGGCTACTGTATGCCTTTGGTATAATGGGATTAGAGGAAGATGTGGGTCTACGCCAGCTGCTGACGGACATGACTTTAGCGAAAAATTTAAAGGACAGGGCTATAGCTAAGCTGGTGATGAGCGCACGACAAGGAATTCGCGATATAGCGGGTTTTATCAATTGGCTTCGAAACTTCGACAAGTACACGTCGCGCGTCGACACGATGCAGCAATGGATGTTGACACGATCGCAAGGTAACTTGGAGAAAATTATATTTGAATCGTGGAAGGCGTCAGGACTGAGCCCTGAAGACGTGTACCACATGATGCCATTCGCATTAGACAAACGAGTTGATCCAACGGACGGAGTAGGCGAGGAAGCCTGGTTCCACTTCCGAATGGATTTTATGCAGTGGCTACGATATATTGAATTCTACAACTATGGCGAGATCAAATTTGGTGTCGACCAAATAGTTCGTGTGCTGACGGTTCATAGAGACAAGCATGAGGTAGAGTATTTGTTCAAGTACTACTTAAAGGAATTGGAGAGGAAGGAGCTAGAATCCGAACACGCAGGACAAACATCTTCGAAACGCAGATAATACAACACCCGTTGAAGCTCTGACCTACCTTTGTCAATTGACCTCGGTTGCCGGGTGAATAAGCACTGGCACCGAAACCGGGAGGCACGTGGCTTGATACCCGCGAGGGGTGGTACGATTACACATCGCCGGAGTGTGGCTAACAAAGCCGGATATAGTGGGTCGCAAGCGTACCCAAATACACCTCAAACTTTCTCTCTCTCTTATCGACATTTGTTTCCAGCCTTTGTGTTATATACTTGCAATTCTACATTAAATTCAGAGTGTAGTAATAACACGCCGGCATGACACTGAGCTTGCACGAGTGCTCTTTTGATGATCTTCCTGGTGTACAAAGTCATGGTTGTATCTGCCGTTAAACTAAGCTTCGCCTATCTCGCAGGGTAAGCACCAGCAGGTTCACTGATACCATTTGCCACAGGTCAGTCTTGCTCTGCAAAGTCAGTCTTCCCGTTCCTATTCGTCTGGCAAGAGCATCAAAGCTACCCTACTTGCCATTCACATGATGCACATCAAGCTAGACAAGGCTGTGTGACTGGCTATTTTTTACGTGTTGCCCAAGCCCAACTTGCACTCAAACATCCGAACGCGCAAAGTAAAGTGCTTTACTCAAAAGAATCGACAATCAACGTTTCTTCATTCAAGAAAACAATGTGAACAGTAGCCTACATATGCGTCGTGAGCGCATTAGTGACACTCTGCCTGGTCAATTAAGCGTCGTTTTACTCGCTAGGTCGTTGCTTGTATTTGCGTAATTTGTGCAGGCGAGATTATCTCGAGATGACATGCGGTCGCATATTCCCCATTGCCCCATCTCTGTTCTTTATTTCATCGTCGTCGTTACGGCTGCTGCCTAGCTGCTATTCGTGCTCGATATGAAACAAGATCGAGTGGTGTTAGACTAACCGAAGTGCCTTGCTGCTGCGGTCCAATCTCAACCTTTCAAACAATGCAGCTCTTAGGCATCTCCAACAGTGCCTTGTTTGCAAAAGGGTTAGTCGCATACAGCTGGTATGAAAAACGCACAGCTTCGCTCTAAAAGCGGTAGAATAGTCCGTCCACGCTGAGCTCGAGTCCCGTGGATGCATTGCGTCTTCTTGGACAGCTTTTGCTTCATCGCTTAGTGTGTGTTTGAAGAATCTACAGACTCGGCCGAGCGAGCAAAGTCATGTGCCGTACCGTCCTTTCCTTCCCATTGCCGACATTCCCGACACCTTGTGCACACCGACGCAGTGTGATTGACCAGGATAAGGCCAAACCGTAGCGATGTAGCTCGGGCTCGATGTAGTAATCTGACAACCTAGTCCCTTCCTTTTGCTCCAGCCTGACACAAAACATCACACACGAGTGTCAATGTGGATGATAGTGCATCAGAAACCACAAAATGTCTACAAACCTCGAACTTGTCATGATGGCAACTCGCCGTATCGAGTTGCGGTACAGACGATCGCGGCAGTAGTCTTGCATTTTTCAACTGGAAAAAGCACGGGCATGCATTCACATCGTGACAAGCATGAGCGCCATCTTTAAATGTACCCGGGCTACCGAACATCGAGCATATGACTGATATAACCTGCGTACAATAGTAGAAGCGCTCTGAATCGGCTCACGATATTGATGCCTCGTTATCGTTGCTCAAACGTGTCTTCACCCGTTATCTGCCGCCAGTCATTGTATCGCACGAACAAAGCGTCCCTTTCACCAACAATGATCCTCGCTTACCACTGAAGAAACGTCCACCAAGCAAAAGCCTACCTTCGTATTCGCATTTTTCCGGCAGGCGTTCATTGTTGGTGGGTTGTAATGTTTTTCTCGATCCTGGACATCGACAAGCTTGTTTTCTGTTCTTCTGATCGCGAGCTTCGCTTTAGGAGTAAAGTCTGTGCCATTTCATAGCATCGATCCATGTTGCATGGTACTACGAGTACACCATGATGCGAATCAAGCAATCAACTCAGTTTGACTCTCGTCCACCGTGCTCTTCTTGACCGTCAGAGAGACACCGGAGAGCCAAGTCGCGCACTTGGCTCATAGACTTTGATATTTTCTTATGTTTGCTCCCTTGCGGCTGGAAAGTGACATGTCGATAACGTGCAGTGACGAAGAAGATGGAGGCATCGATCAATCTGTGCGTGACTACATCGTCGTACTTGCCAAATATAGCCAACTTGTCTGTGGTCGGTCACGTTAAGACGTCGCGTCCATGCCAAAGCTTACAAGAAAAAGCTGTGTCTCAAAGCAATGTCGCATCGAGAACCAGCACCTCACCGAGTGTCATACTTGCTGCTCACATTCGTTCGTCTGACACACATGGTATCGTTGGCTTCGTTGATCTAAAAACGTCAACTCCTTTGACTGGTTCACTTGCACCTGACCGACACATTGACGATGTTGCTAGTCATGCGACAGGGAAGCAACATACACTACTTGGGGTAGAGTTCTTATTTTCGGTTGCATCACTAGGACAAACAGCAAGTCGTGACGAGTTGCCAAGAAAGCTTGCAATTGACACGACTCGACATCGGCCTTTTCTTTCCCCTAGAATTGACCCCCGTGGCGTGCGGACCGGCACTTTGTATCGTATCCGAGCCAGGAATATCAGCGTATATGGTAGCGAACTTACAAGCACAGCAGTCAAACGAAATTTCTCTGACGCATTGCCCATGAATGATGACGCTCGTATTAGTATGTGGACGCCTTCTGCACCCTTGGCCGCATCCATAGTGGCAGCTCCTTTCCCTCGATACACTTTCCAATGCTCAAAGGTGCTTCAGACAACGAGTGACATAAGTGTTGACACTCAGTTTAGCTTCACTCGTCCCGAATAGCTACCGCCATCTGGCCGAGTGAGCTGGCTCGTCACGCAGCAACTTTGCGGTGCGTACATAGACGTCACAAAAGAGCGCGCGTGCACCGACAGGTCACAAAAGCGGTCCCATGAACAACGCTGTCTTCGAGACATGACCAAAGTATCTATCGGGGTCCTCGACTGCAGCGACACTGCCATTAAACTGCATACAAAGCTGCATGACTTCCGCATGATAAACGCTGCTTCAGCAGTTCAACACGCGGTAGAGCTATTGCGGTGCACCTTGGATTCCTGCGGATCCATCAAAGCTGTGCCCAAGCAACAGACCTGCACAATCACGCAGCAGTTGCTTGCGCGGGAGGAACGTCTTGGAGTGGCCCATGGATCACAACGTCATTGCTCGAACAATGTCGCCCCAGCAGACGCTTCAGTACATATGCAGTGTTGCAAGACACCATGCCGACCAGCGGCAAGCGAGTGTGCTGTGGTTGTGCTGCCTGCACGGCGTTCGGGCTCATGCAACAAGCTCTGCGACACACAACTGCGAAGATACATGCCTGACGCAAAAGTCGCTTTATTGCGTGCTGTCCTCGAGAAACTTACGAGACGACTGAGCGGTGGGATCTAGCAGCAATGACCATACAGAGAGCAGCACGTGACTTTGCGCAATGGACAAGGCGCCTTCAGCAAGCGGAAACTGCTGAATCGAGATGATGTTGTAACGCTTGAGACTGCTTTTCATAGCGCTGACAGGCACAGTTGCAGCGACCCTGATGGTAACAATTGTGGCAGCTGGTTATCTGGATACCCGCACAGGGCGCTGCTCAACAGCTGGTAATCACATGCGCAGCAACACCAATGAGACACTAAGCACTAATGTGCAGCTATCTCAGATAGCGTGATAGTTGCATATTCTTGATCACTTGTCCACCCAAAGCAATCGCCACAAAGCATTCAACGAGGACATGCAGCTGCTACCGCGTCACCAACCAATCCACTTCTCAGTCAGCGCATTCGCTCTCGTCGCCAACCCGAAAACGACGCATTTCGCTAATTTCTCGAACACATAACTTGGCGTTGCAGCCCGACTTGCTTCACTCATGGCGACCGAACCTCATATCTACAGTCCACCTACATCGATCACACTCGTTTCTTGGTACTCCTCAAGGTCCATCGACGAACCTTCACCTCTCGGTCTGGACTGCTGCACACCACCCATGGAGCCTGAGCAGTAGAGATCGCACCCTATTGACACTATCCATGAGCCGCGCACTAACGCATACGAAAAGCGTCACGTGCGTGATACATGTTGCGAGGGAAGTGCCCAGCAAGACCAGCCTCTGTTCCATTAGCCATACTCAACCACCTCTGGTTCCAAAGACCGGCACGATCGGTCCAAAAATCGTTCCGCTCCAGACGCGCATCCTGGTGTTCATGACAACCAACACGATAGCATCATCAAATTTGCTATTTCTGTCCCTTTACTTGTCGCCAACAAGAGCCATCACTCCGCTCATGACTGCACCCTCCACGAGCCCCGACGTCTCCAATGGAGGTGTGACAGCTAATCAGTGGACGACGTTCCAAGTCCTCATCGATCGATGCACCAAGTTCCACGCCATCTTCATGAGACAAAACCCATCTTTAACTGATTTACACGCTTCACCAACTTGACGGCCAACTCAGCTTGACTGCCTTCTTCGTTCATGCTCTCGTGGACAAAGACGCGACTACCACACACATATTTGGTCTGTGTCGCAAAAGTTATACAGCTATCAGCAAGTTCGAGCCTCGTCCAGGTCACCATCTCCAAGCACAGCGAATGCAGCGTTGCCTCCCAGTTCCAGTGATACGCACTTCACAGTCTTTGCCGACTGCTCCATCACCAGCCTCTTCGACGCGCGTCGATCTGGAACGAAATCATCTGGACAGCCTGGCTGCTAGTCAACGCTTGACCTATCTCAGCTGACTTGTCATGTGAAGCTGGCGCTACATCGATCACACCTGGCGGCATGCCATCTTCTTCTGCAATTTCGGCCAAAGCCGACAATAACATCTCAACAGCTGCTATGCTTGACCACTGCTGTGCAACAGCGGCGAGACAAGAACCATAAAGCATCGCCGATTGGAAGCTCCACGGCGTCAGAATCCCTTACGAAGCTACTAAATCTCTGCTGACCATCGTCTCGCGGTCGCGCGCTGACGAAGAGCGCCGAAAGCCGCTCGCGTGCATGGTCTCGTGCGCGTGGGCGTGAACAGAGCCAGCAGCATACGCGACTTCGCCATCACGACTCAGCAACGGATTGCGGCTCTCGTTCGAGGCAGTCACCGCCAACTCTCCAGTATGACTATGCGTTGCTGAATGCCACTTCTTCGCTTGAGCAGCGCCGACCGATGTGCAGGTCACGTCCTGCGTCACTCCTTCTGAGCTGCAGAGGCTGCGGCGGCCACCGTTTTGCTTGTCCCGACGTGACGCGCCTCCTTGTCGGCTGACGGGCCAATCACAGCAACGCGCTCGCGCAAATGGCACGCGCTCTGACCCATTGGCCGTTGCTCGAGTCGGCAGTCGACGGCAGAAGCTGTTCGTAGAGCGCCTCGTTGGAACACAAACGGCGCGTGGCGGACGGCACAGTGTCACACCGGAGCGAGCGGCAGACGCCGTGCGAGACGGACAGAGCAACGGAGCGACTCGACGTCGGCGGTTGGGGTTTGTTCGGCTTGGACGCAAACTGCGACATGAGAGCGCGGGACGTCGCGGGGACTGAGACGTGACGTGACGTTTTCTTAACCAGTGGACGGGCGTCGTCGCGTTCGAGTGGATGTTGAAGAAGGCACCTGCCGTCAGCCAATGACAAGAGCGCGTGCGAGCGGCCGGTCCAGCCACCCACGATGTCGCGTCGGACAAGACGCTCCAGATAAGTGCGAATCGAGGACCCGTTGCCTGCGTGGCAAGTTCCATGTGGTCCACAGATTATTGCGCGTCCACCACACCATTTGTCGCGCGAGCAGCTCCCACTGCGCATATCATCTGACGATCGGACGCTATGGCGATGTACTGAGCGATACGAATAGCCCTCGCGCGCCTGCTGGTGCTCTACTGTAGCGGCACTGGGACCGCTCGGGACGTGGCCGCGTTTGTGCAGCAACGTGCGCTCAACTGGCAGCTTCTGGACACGCAGATCGACGCCGAAGAGGACACGTTCCCAGTGCCCCATGCGCTGCCTCAGAACTCCGCTGTTGTCGTTGTTGGGGCTACAAGCGGTGACGGCAAAGTGCCCGAGAACGTGTGTGTTGTAGCAGTGCGCTGTCGTACAAGGCGAAGCTGTGGAATGAGCGGCTGAAAGGCGTCCGCGGTGCTGATTTGGACGGGGCGGCTCGAGTCACGCCACGTGGGATGCAGCAGCTCGACGTGTGCAGGCACGTTTGCTGCAGTTGCGAGCACTGGGGCCCATTGCAAGAGGACTGGGAGACGACCAGCAGCGTTTGGATCCTCGGATCGCTGACTCCATAGCTGGAGAAGCTCTGGCGGCGGTTGTGCAGCTGCCTTCGTCGTCGAAAGGAGGGACCATTGATGACCCGCCAAAGCCGATGGAGCCTCGCTACATCCGGGTATGCCTCGACATACTATCTTCGTTCATGGTGCTGGAGAAAGGAGGTGGACGATGCGAGCAAGTTGACGACGGGACGGACGAGTCGACGTTCTATGTGCTGCGTGCACGACAGCGGGGCGAGAGGAGGGCATGCACTGGGCAATTGTTGTTGATAACAGTCGGGCCGCAGCTGAAGAGAGGGAGCGGGATGCTTACCACGTGAAGTTTGACATGGCGACGGTGCCCGGGTGGGCAACGCTATTGACGCCCTAATGAAAGCTCGGGTTGTTGCAGTGATGTGTCGTGAGGACGGAAGTCGACGATATACTCAGGCACATGCCATTCGATGGCGGCACTGTAGTTTCGTACATGCCGCAGCTGGTTGAGGTAGTTTCATTTGCCTTCTTCAGTCTCTCTTCGTGATTGATACGTCAAGTACGATGCCATCCTGGAAACCGCGCGGCGGCGCTTCTTCGAGACGTGATCGCTGCTGCTACAAGTGAAGAAGAGGTGAGAACTTGGTGTCTGCGATGAACACTGATCGCATGGCGATGCTGATTTTGTTGGCGTGTCGATGCTTCGTTCAGCAGAAAGAGAAGTTCGAGGAGTTAGCGGTAGCTGAGGATGTGGATCTTCTGTACGACTTCTACGTTGTGAGACGAAGACGTACACAGCGGTTTTGACGGACCTTCGTAGCGCAAAGGTCCACTGCCAATTCTGCTATTGATGACCCTCGTCAACAGCTTCGATCGTGCACGATGTCATCGTCAGCTCGTCTCTACCTCATGCGAGTAAGTTACTTCATGTGCTGGTATTCGGCTTTCTACCGCGGTGTGCCTATTTTGACGACTTGTGAGGTTCATCTGACCGTGGCCGTCGCAGGCTTCTTGTCTCCGCACATGCGCCGCCGACATGAAGTATGCTCGTTCATCTTCTTTTCTGTGGGCCCATCTAAGAAGCAAGGCGCGTACTAATGTGAATCAAGCAGAGTCTCTTGGAGTCTCCTGACGTTGAGCGACACGTGTTGCTCGTCGGTGGAGGAACCGTTTGGACCATGCGGGGAACAATGAAGGAGCGACAAGGCTTGCGGGAACAAGCACGGGCGCAAGTCCTGGGCCATGCACTTCACTCCGGATGCCGCGTCAAAAGCGAGGTATGAAAGTCGCATCTCGACTGCGTGAAAGCGCATTCGCGTTCTGACTGTTGTGCAAGTTGTGCTGTCCGGTGAGTAACGCCAACTGCGATGGGGCGCTAGTCGTTTCCACACTACCGCCCCAAAGACGACACTCTTACAATGGAGTCGCGTACTATCCGTCCGTCTATCGAGCTTTCTTCTTCTTCTGTATCGCATTGTAGACACCATCACCTCATCACGCACGACACGAGAGAGCGGTATGAGAAGCAGGATATTTAGCGATGCCATCGTTGCAAACACACAACAGGCGTCAGCGTAAACGTGCACGAGCAGCGATGGGCGCTACAGCCTCCGGCAAGTGGCAGCCGCACTGAACCCATCGGAAGGGCAGCATCAGACGATCCAATCAATCGTTCATTGGTACGGCACTTGCACTTGCACGTTCAAAGTTGTTTGCTTCCTTGACTTGTGTACCTATCGTTGTATTTCGCCGCAGCTCATGTTGCTTTGGTCACACCTTTGTAAGCCTTATGGCGCGGCTGTTCGCGTGATTGTTGCCATGCATCTGCACGACTTCTGAGGGATCCACAGACAGATTGTCTTGATAGACGGCGAACACGAACGTTCAAGTCGCAATGTAAGCCAGCAACTTCAGAGACTCAGATGTTCGCCAGGCTAATCTTCTGATGGCTCATTCAACATACGAATTAAACACGGAGAAGGCAAAGCCAGCATACGAACGTCAGCGCGTTTCGATCTGATGGCCATCTGTAGCTCGTCTTTGGGAGAGCCGAAGAGACTTGACAGAATTGTGTTTGTTCGGTGGGTAGTTCGGATAAGCGCGTGCTTAGCTCGCATGGCTATCGTGTCTCGCCGGTGCTCGCTTTTTTCCAATAGCCGAATGGCTATTCACCAGCTCGCATACGGCGGCCTTTGATACACTTATTCGATCACTCAGTAGGCGTGACTACTCAAAACAATGGCTGACCAGTAGGTCCATTGCCTCGAGGGTCACCTTGACTTCAACATGTTTCATACCCTCTTATAAGTGAGCGAATACATTCCTTAATAAAGCGCAAACCTTTGCTGGACAGTTTATGGCTGTTTCGTGTTTTCAATACTGCAACGAATCGAGGGCAGTGATGCAGCCATTGGTCGTTGTTAATGTCGTCAATAGCTCTCGCGATTTGTTTGAATTAAACTCGTGCACGGATGTGCGGTGTGCAGGGTAGAGAATATAAAACCTATTCGTTTGAATCGTGTCTTAGTTCAGCCGAACGCGAGGTCTATTTACAAAAGTTGTCGCATCGATGCAGTTCTCACACAGATGCCTAAATGAGTGAAACCAGATCCTCTCGCATGCAAAGAGATCTATAAACAGCTCGATGGCAAGATACGCCGTGCCATAATTCAAAGCGAAGCGTGTTAGATTTGTCGCGTATTTCTTACTGATGGATATAGAAAGAAATCTCAACCGGGTCCCCGTGTAGCCGTACAGCAGCCCTAAAATCGACCGTATGAATGCTCGCTTCTCTTTTTTTGATCTACTGTCTAGGACTTGCGAAGCTTGTCTAGTTGCTGCCATGTCAACGCTTGATCCCTTCATGTCTACCGCTGTGATCTTTTGGCGAGCAAACTCGCATATTAATGCTAGTAATTACGTGCATTCCTCTATGGATCGACACTGCATGTAAAAACACATAGTGCCCGCTTCAATTAGCTCGGCTTTTACGCGGACTTCGGTAACGCGCTGTTTCTACCACCCAATACTTGCATACTGTGTTCAATTGATCGCCGTTCGCAAATAATTATCGGACTTCTAGCTGTTAGTAAAAGCTTGACATCCCTGTTCTAAATGCGTCTCAAAGTGTGGGTGGGGGAAAGTCTACGGACGTGCTGTAGAGATATTGACTGTTGATGTGAGCTGTTGAGGTGCCGAACGGAAGCAATTTAGGAGCTTGAAATGTATGTATGTAATCAGAAGAACAGGTTTATTAACACGTCAGAAAGGTTCTTTTTACACAATACGCGACGCGGAGCAGTATTTATAGCATTTCAGACCATCGATGTAAAACCAAAATGAATGTTTACGTTTTAAATTACGGTACGCTCTTTCCTATTTTTAGGTGTTGCAAAGCGTCGATGTGAAGCAGGAAATCACGTTGCGCTTTTGCGATTATCTCAAATTTCATCCTGCCATGACTGTGGCCGCTAACTTTCGTGGAGATGTCTTACCCCGCTCTTGAGCTCATGGAGACACGACCACATCTTGTGTAACAAGGCTCCTACTGACGCCAGTAGAGGTCATGCTGTTGTAAAGCCCGTGAGATCGGTGTCCAAAGTGGCGTACAGCATGCTCTTTAGCTCCTTCTTGTTGCGATATAGCGGCAAATCCAAGCGGTTGAAACACGCGTGACTAGAGATATACTGAGTCATTCGGTACGACACGCCCTTGAGGTTGAAAGGGCATAATCGGCCATCGTAGCTCGTAAGGCCACGGAATCCAGACAGAGGGACACACGCTGATCCCGTTGCGAACAGTAGAAGGCGGCGGCGATACTCATTCGGCATTTGACGAACAATCTCCCAGAACCAACGGGTCAGACTAGCGTTCTCGAGATCAGAAGATAGAACGGTATGAGCTTCCCAATCCGTGACGTCAATTTCAGGAGATCCACAGAGAAGATAGTCAAACTCTTCTGGGTCAAAGAGAAGTAACATATCGCGAGGAATAACTTCGTACAAACCTGATAAGAACGCGTACATTTGATCTGCCACGCTCTCAAACAACGCGTATCGGAAACGACGGTCCAAGTACTCGCGCTTGTTTGCATCTGTAACGACCACATTACGGCCGTTCGGGACCAAGTCCACCACCACCTTCTCGGATCCATTCACCAGCTTCACAAGACTAAAGTCAAGCTCGAGATCCTCCACTCCGTCGTTCTCCATCAGCCACTGCAAACTGCGGTATGTTTCTGGGTCCAGAAATTCCATATCAGCGAACGTCACCGGCACACCCAATATCACCTTCAGCAACGGAAGTGCGAGATGAAACCCCCAAATGCCACCCTCCAGTAGTGCCCGGCCAATCAAACGTCCGGTGGCAAAGTAGCATGCGAGGTGATCCTCGCCCACTTCAGCTCGAGACTGTGAGTTGAAAAAGTAGCTCTGGTCGGCCTTATTCGTGCAAGTAAACAGTCGCAGCGTCGGTGAAATCAGCAGCTGATTCACCAGCATGAACCATTCGCGATGCACACCTCCAGCATCCACACCACTCTCATCCAAAAAGTTGATGCGCATGAACGAGCGCAAGTTTCTCGGCTGGATGCATATCATATGGTCAAGAGACTCCTCGAGCATGTAGTCACGGTGCACCGACAACTTCAGAAACTCCACTTCTGCTGGCACAATGAGCGATGCCGTGCTTATGACAAAGTGCGCATACTTGGACGGAAAGTCGCTCGCTGCTAAAGCCACAATCTCTTTCCGTCGCTCAGGACCAACGTCGACTGACGCCGACTGGTCAGTCGAAAAGTCCGCAAGTCCGTAAGCCGAGGCCTCGGTTAGCTCCGTCCGCACACCTGTAAGCAGTTCGAGCTTGTCGAAAAACTTGTCCCTAACCTCGTCCGACTTCTCCGGCGCCTCAACTGCTTCACCAGTCCAATCCGACATCTCGCAATCCTTCTCACCCTCCTGCTGCACTTGCTTTTCCCCTTCGTCGTCCATAATATCTCCTGCGTGCTGTTCCTCTACGGTTTGTTTCTTGTGCTCTGAAATCTTAAAAGATACTATATACCCGGGCATGAGCGCGTTCACCTCATTACTCACGGGCAAGTCGCCTCCTCCACTGCGATACCAAAAGAGGTTTCCTTCCACGTCGAGTTTCCGGCTCCACTCCCGGCGGTTCCTTGCTCGACGTTGCTGTCGCGTCATCGACGATAGCTTCCTCGACCGAGGCGACAGCAGACGACCGATTGTGCCTCTATCGGCTGCCGACAAGGTAGATGACGCTTCTCTTCTATCATGGTCCATATTTAAAGAACAGGAACTTGAGCCACTATCGTCAGTGCTCCTGTCTTCATCGGTTGTCATGGACAAAGACAGGAGTTTGTCACCGCAGAGCACGCAATACTCAAAGCGTCGGAAGTTTTCAAACTCGCAGCTCGAGCACACACTGTATCCAGCCTCAGCTTCTCGAGTAGCAGCGTCGATTCGGTGGTCAACTGACTCGCCCGAGAGCAGCGGAACTTCCATGTCAATCATGTGTCGATTGCGGCGACAGCCCAAGAGCCACACGACGAGAAAAATGACGAATAGCAGCAGCGCGCCAATCACCTGGTACAACATCGACGTCGGTGTCGAGTTTTCCTTGTCATCCATGCGGTAAAACGCGTTGCCAGCGGCAGCTTTCGGCGCGTTTGAGTTGTGAGCCGAAAGCACTCGGCAAGCAAAAGACTGTGGGCCCACTGGCAGCGGTTTTGCACGGGTTCCGTCGTCCGAGGCTTCCCCTCGCAACAGTGGCCATCCCATGCGATGGTGGGCTTGAAGTCAGTAATTACGCGACACTGACTTCATTGGCGCGACACACGCCACCCCAACTCGTCGTCGTCGTCGTCGTCGAAGTAGCAGTAGCAGCAGCTCGAGCAAACCCAAACAACAACCGAGCGGACGGGGACTATCCGACAGCGTGTTTTATGTGCCGGTCGTGCGTGCCCCACAAGAAGCTGTTGAAGGATGGGCCGTGGTTGCTTTTGTATGGACGGACCGGCTCGTTGCCATTGCGCGGGACTTGGGGCAGCGAAAACGTAGCGAGCGACGCGCTTGGCCTCTTTTTCCGGCTCACGTCGATTTGATGGATAGCCGCTGCTTTTCCTGCGAGAGACATGTCGATTGTTACGTAGGGACGACGAGGGACTGGCCCTTTTTTTCTGGTGGCAAAACGACTTCTGTGGTGTGGAAACGGTCTTTCCAGTGCGTGTGTTAGCAAAACGCTGTCCACCAAAGAGCTGTTGGACGCGCGGCAGCGATTCGAGGGCAAAAGAACTAAAAACGAGTGGGCACATGTGGCACACGAGGCTCTCGAATTGGGGCCTTTTCCTTCCGTTCGGTACTCTCAGATTGCGATAAGCACGACATCGATCGCAACAGTGATAAGCTACTTGCGATCGCTACTGCTTTCACTGCAGGGCGAACCTCAATACTGCTGCACCCATCAAGTCTCTAGAGGTTCTTCCTGGGTGTTTATCTGTAACGTCAAGTCAGCCTCGTAATTGAGCCACTTCGTCGCACGCGAGATCGAAGGCCGCAATCTCGTTTTGTAACGCTGACGATCGAATCGTCACTTGAGGACGTGGCGATGTGGTCCCATAATTGAGTAACTGAAGAATCTGTCACTAACCGATTGAACACACACATTGCACGATCGTGACGCGAAACGCTTTCAGCGTCACGCCCAGTCGGCCTCCACTGCGCTCCGAGGAACTCGGTTTCTGCAACTGTACAATCGCTTTCGATGCCTTGATATGATCGACCTGTTTTCGGCGTGATTGCCGCCGCGTCGTCAGTCATTCACACCGCAGAATGGCAACGATCATCGCGTTAAGTAACACAATCGAATTCTTAGTGAGGATCTGCTGAATCCTGTGGTGAAAGTAGAAGGATTCCTCCTCACTCTTGCTAAGAGCGACCACACAACACTCTCTCCGACTACGCCGAACGCAAGAGCGCCCGTTACAATCGCCCACCCCTCTCTCATTATATAGAAAAGCATGCGTTACGTGCTTGTTCTCGAAAGTATTTCATACCACGGCTGATGTACAGTCCGCGACGTGATGAAAATCTCACCAGACGCAGCAGTTGGCTCGCCTATCTAGTTGGTGTCGCGGCAGACGTACAAAAACGTATTTCCAGATAGCCTTTCTAACATCTCGGGTCGATACGACACGACAAGCTGACTCCGTCTGCCATGGTACTCTTCCATTCGTATGAATGTATATGAGACAAGCACCTGCGTCAATCCCCTGACACTGACTAGCCGACGCCATCGGCTTTCACACGTAAGATGGAAATTTCATCAGAGACCAAGCACTGAGTGAAACGGCGAGGTGTATTCAGAGCGGCGAGCGACCCCGCCATAGCCTGAGCGACCCGCTATAACCTATAAACCCAGCACTCGCCCTCCAGCAGGGCGCGTTCCTCAACGACCAGCGGCATGTAAAAGCGTGTCCGCAGCAGCACAGCGGGCTTTGCCATCGTTAGTGCAACGAAGGCGTGGATTGGCGGAAGCAAATTAACCGTCTCTAGACGATGCACGACCCCCATTAAGGCACATTGCTGCCATCGCAGCGACCCACTGCATACAAAGCATGTGGCTAGGCTATCTATAATCCTAAGATACACAGTCCCTTCACTTTGATGGATATGTACTATTTGCCTTTCACTACAGCTGCTAAAGATGAACGCGGTCGTATAGGCAATTAAGCTTTGTGGTGAAGTTGTGAAAGCGTCAACAGAAACAACAACCCACTACAAGGGATATAGTCGAGCAAAACTTAACGCGACAGGCTGACGGCAACAGTCATACCAAGCAACTAAAGGAGTGGACCACAAAGGGAAAATAAAAAAATGCCCCAGATAATAAAAAAATCCTCAGATAAATAAAAAATAGAAAATGCCCCACGTCCTAGTAACCTCATGTTTATGTGGTACACATAAAGCCACGCGTCCTTATGCATATTCGTTTTCACATTTTACGGCCGTGACCAACCCCCGCCCTGTTTGGGAAGCCGCGGAGAGGGTTCTGCCGCGGGCGTGCTGCGCTTGCAGCCATCAGTTGCAGGCGCGGACGAGAATTATAAGTACGTAAAATCGCCTTCGTATCATCGGTCGAGGCGGTAAACACAGTCAGTCGGAGCTAATGTTGTTTGAGATTAATGTTATTTCTTTCTTTATTGTTGTTTCAGTTGCTATTGTTGCTGCTGTTGCTGCTGTCGCTGCTGCTACTGTTGTAGGTGCTATGGTTGCTATTAATGTTGTTTTACTTGTGGGATCGCATTTCTTTCCTGCCTTTCAGTTTTGATACTTAAAAACACATAATCATATCAATAGACCCCAATGAATCTATTCTTTCTGTTTAGCTCTTATTGATGGCTTCAATGTCTGCACACTTCTTTGTCTGCAGACATATTTCAGGGAGGAAACGTGCGATGATGAAAGAGGTGAATTTGTCAAAGTTTTGTGTCAGTTGCTTGAACGACAACGTGGTTAGATAATTTTTTGTCCTGATTTACTCGAGTTTACCAGGACGTGGGGCATTTTTTATTTTTTAATTATCTGGGGCGTACTTTTTATTTTATAATTATCTGGGGCTTTTTTCCATTCGTAATTAAATGGGCCGTATTTTTATTTTCTGTTAATTTAAAAAGTACAACCCCATCAGCGGGACATTGTAGAGTACGAAAGGCGCTTAATAAATGCCTTTTTGAGTAAACTGATCCGCGGAAAGGGATGCGCGAAACTATGCGACTCCAACGACGACGCATTCAGTATTGCGGCATCATCGCGACGAGATTTCCCGATCGCAAATAATGATTCAATGTAGAATGGTACTTCATCAGCCAAAATGGTACTGGATTGGACCTGCAAAACAAGTATTGATGCCGAAACTTGTTCGTATGTGGAGATTAGAAAGCGAACCTCGAGACATCTTATGGGTCTGTCCGGTTGCTAAAGGGTGCTACTGGTAAATCTTATCCATTGGACCATTTGCAAGCGTATTCGGAATGCCTCTAGCTTCATGCGAAATCTGCTTGGCACGAGGCTCTCACCATATATCCGCAAAAAAATACGCATCTAAAGATGCAATTAGTAACTCGGTTACGGCATCCCTATGTCGGTGACATCGGATATGTTGGGTGTTGTGTTTAGTATACACATTCAACGTCTCTCCTACACGCTCATGTTGTTTACGAAGTCAAGGTTTTTATTCTGACAGAGGCTTACAAAGGTGTGACCAAAGCAACATAAGCTGCGGCGAAATACAACGATAGGTACACAAGTCAAGGAAGCAAACAACTTTGAACGTGCAAGTGCAAGTGCCGTACCAATGAACGATTGATTGGATCGTCTGGTGCTGCCCTTCCGATGGGTTCAGTGCGACTGCCGCTTGCCGGAGGCTGTAGCGCCCATCGCTGCTCGTGCACGTTTACGCTGACGCCTGTTGTGTGTTTGCAACGATGGCATCGCTAAATATCCTGCTTCTCATACCGCTCTCTCGTGTCGTGCGTGATGAGGTGATGGTGTCTACAATGCGATACAGAAGAAGAAGAAGAAGAAGAAGAAGAAAGCTCGATAGACGGACGGATAGTACGCGACTCCATTGTAAGAGTATCGTCTTTGGGGCGATAGTGTGGAAACGACTAGCGCCCCATCGCAGTTGGCGTTACTCACCGGACAGCACAACTTGCACAACAGTCAGAACGCAAATGCGCTTTCACGCAGTCGAGATGCGACTTTCATACCTCGCTTTCGACGCGGCATCCGGAGTGAAGTGCATGGCCCAGGACTTGCGCCCGTGCTTGTTCCCGCAAGCATTGTCGCTCCTTCATTATTCCCCGCATGGTCCGAACGGTTCCTCCACCGACGAGCAACACGTATCGCTCAACGTCAGGAGACTCCAAGAGACTCTGCTTGATTCACATTAGTACGCGCCTTGCTTCTTAGATGGGCCCACAGAAAAGAAGATGAACGAGCATACTTCATGTCGGCGGCGCTTGTGCGGAGACAAGAAGCCTGCGACGGCCACGGTCAGATGAACCTCACAAGTCGTCAAAATAGGCACACCGCGGTAGAAAGCCGAATACCAGCACATGAAGTAACTTACTCGCATGAGGTAGAGACGAGCTGACGATGACATCGCGCACGATCGAAGCTGTTGACGAGGGTCATCAATAGCAGAATTGGCAGTGGACCTTTGCGCTACGAAGGTCCGTCAAAACCGCTGTGTACGTCTTCGTCTCACAACGCAGAAGTCGTACAGAAGATCCACATCCTCAGCTACCGCTGACTCCTCGAACTTCTCTTTCTGCTGAACGGAGCATCGACACGCCAACAAAATCAGCATCGCCATGCGATCAGTGTTCATCGCAGACACCAAGTTCTCACCTCTTCTTCACTTGTAGCAGCAGCGATCACGTCTCGAAGAAGCGCCGCTGCGCGGTTTCCAGGATGGCATCGTACTTGACGTATCGATCACGAAGAGAGACTGAAGAAGGCAAATGAAACTGCCTCAACCAGCTGCGGCATGGACGAAACTACAGTGCCGCCATCGAATGGCATGTGCCTGAGTATATCGTCGACTTCCGTCCTCACGACACATCACTGCAACAACCCGAGCTTTCATTAGGGCGTCAGTAGCGTTGCCCACCCGGGCACCGTCGCCATGTCAAACTTCACGTGGTAAGCATCCCGCTCCCTCTCTTCAGCTACGGCCCGACTGTTATCAACAAAAATTGCCCAGTGCATGCCCTCCTCTCGCCCTGCTGTCGTGCACGCAGCACATAGAACGTCGACTCGTCCGTCCCGTCGTCAACTTGCTCGCACCGTCCACCTCCTTTCTCCAGCACCATAAACGAAGATAGTAGATTGAGGCATACCCAGCTGTAGCGAGGCTCCATCGGCTTTGGCGGGTCATCAATGGTCCGTCCTTTCGACGACGAAGGCAGCTGCACAACCGCCGCCAGAGCTTCTCCAGCTATGGAGTCAGCGATCCAAGGATCCAAACGCTGCTGGTCGTCTCCCAGTCCTCTTGCAATGGGCCCCAGCGCTCGCAACTGCAGCAAACGTGCCTGCACACGTCGAGCTGCTGCATTCCACGTGGCGTGACTCGAGCCGCCCCGTCCAAATCAGCACCGCGGACGCCTTTCAGCCGCTCATTCCACAGCTTCGCCTTGTACGACAGCGCACTGCTACAACACACACGTTCTCGGGCACTTTGCCGTCACCGCTTGTAGCCCCAACAACGACAACAGCGGAGCTCTGAGGCAGCGCATGGGGCACTGGGAACGTGTCCTCTTCGGCGTCGATCTGCGTGTCCAGAAGCTGCCAGTTGAGCGCACGTTGCTGCACAAACGCGGCCACGTCCCGAGCGGTCCCAGTGCCGCTACAGTAGAGCACCAGCAAGCGCGCGAGGGCTGTTCATATCGCTCAGTACATCGCCATAGCGTCCGATCGTCAGATGACAGGCGCAGTGGGAGCTGCTCGCGCGACAAATGGTGTGGTGGACGCGCAATAATCTGTGGACCACATGGAACTTGCCACGCAGGCAACGGGTCCTCGATTCGCACTTATCTGGAGCGTCTTGTCCGACGCGACAGCGTGTGTGGCTGGACCGGCCGCTCGCACGCGCTCTTGTCATTGGCTGACGGCAGGTGCCTTCTTCAACATCCACTCGACCGCGACGACGCCCGTCCACTGGTTAAGGAAACGTCGCGTCACGTCTCAGTCCCCGCGACGTCCCGCGACGTCCCGCGCTCTCATGTCGCAGTTTGCGCCCAAGCCGAACAAACCCCAACCGCCGACGTCGAGTCGCTCCGCTGCTCTGTCCGTCTCGCACGGCATCTGCCGCTCGCTCCGGTGCGACACTGTGCCGTCCGCCACGCGCCGTTTGTGTTCCAACGAGGCGCTCTACGAACAGCTTCTGCCGTCGACTGCCGACTCGAGCAACGGCCAATGGGTCAGAGCGCGTGCCATCCGCGCGAGCGCGTTGCTGTGATTGGCCCGGCAGCCGACAAGGAGGCGCGTCACGTCGGGACAAGCGAAACGGTGGCCGCCGCAGCCTCTGCAGCTCAGAAGGAGTGACGCAGGACGTGACCTGCACATCGGCCGGCGCTGCTCAAGCGAAGAAGTGGCATTTAGCAACGCGGAGTCATACTGGAGAGTTGGCGGTGACTGCCTCGAACGAGAGCCGCAATCCGTTGCTGGGTCGTGATGGCGAAGTCGCGTATGCTGCTGGCTCTGTTCACGCCCACGCGCACGAGACCGTGCACGCGAGCGGCTTTTGGCGCTCTTCGTCAGCGCGCGATCGCGAGATGATGGTCAGCAGAGAGTCAGTAGCTGCGTAAGGGATTCTGACGCCGTGGAGCTTCCAATCGGCGATGCTTTATGGTTCTTGTCTCGCCGCTGTTGCACAGCAGTGGTCAAGCAAAGCAGCTGTTGAGATGTTATTGTCGGCTTTGGCCGAAATTGCAGAAGAAGACGGCATGCCGCCAGGTGCGATCGATGTAGCGCCAGCTTCACATGACAAGTCAGCTGAGATAGGTCAAGCGTTGACTAGCAGCCAGGCTGTCCAGATGATTTCGTTCCAGGATCGACGCGCGTCGAAGAGGCTGGTGATGGAGCAGTCGGCAAAGACTGTGAAGTGCGTATCACTGGAACTGGGAGGCAGCGCTGCATTCGCTGTGCTTGGAGATGATGACCTGGACGAGGCTCGAACTTGCTGACAGCTGTATAACTTTTGCGACACAGACCAAATGTGTGTGTGGTAGTCGCGTCTTTGTCCACGAGAGCATGAACGAAGAAGGCAGTCAAGCTGAGTTGGCCGTCAAGTTGGTGAAGCGTGTAAATCAGCTAAAGATGGGTTTTGTCTCATGAAGATGGCGTGGAACTTGGTGTATCGATCGATGAGGACTTGGAACGTCGTCCACTGATTAGCTGTCACACCTCCATTGGAGACGTCGGGGCTCGTGGAGGGTGCAGTCATGAGCGGAGTGATAGCTCTTGTTGGCGACAAGTAAAGGGACAGAAATAGCAAATTTGATGATGCTATCGTGTTGGTTGTCATGAACACCAGGATGCGCGTCTGGAGCGGAACGATTTTTGGACCGATCGTGCCGGTCTTTGGAACCAGAGGTGGTTGAGTATGGCTAATGGAACAGAGGCTGGTCTTGCTGGGCACTTCCCTCGCAACATGTATCACGCACGTGACGCTTTTCGTATGCGTTAGTGCGCGGCTCATGGATAGTGTCAATAGGGTGCGATCTCTACTGCTCAGGCTCCATGGGTGGTGTGCAGCAGTCCAGACCGAGAGGTGAAGGTTCGTCGATGGACCTTGAGGAGTACCAAGAAACGAGTGTGATCGATGTAGGTGGACTGTAGATATGAGGTACGGTCGCCATGAGTGAAGCAAGTCGGGCTGCAACGCCAAGTTATGTGTTCGAGAAATTAGCGAAATGCGTCGTTTTCGGGTTGGCAACGAGATCGAATGCGCTGACTGAGAAGTGGATTGGTTGGTGACGCGGTAGCAGCTGCATGTCCTCGTTGAATGCTTTGTGGCGATTGCTTCGGGTGGACAAGTGATCAAGAATATGCAACTATCACGCTATCTGAGATAGCTGCACATTAGTGCTTAGTGTCTCATTGGTGTTGCTGCGCATGTGATTACCAGCTGTTGAGCAGCGCCCTGTGCGGGTATCCAGATAACCAGCTGCCACAATTGTTACCATCAGGGTCGCTGCAACTGTGCCTGTCAGCGCTACGAAAAGCAGTCTCAAGCGTTACAACATCATCTCGATTCAGCAGTTTCCGCTTGCTGAAGGCGCCTTGTCCATTGCGCAAAGTCACGTGCTGCTCTCTGTATGGTCATTGCTGCTAGATCCCACCGCTCAGTCGTCTCGTAAGTTTCTCGAGGACAGCACGCAATAAAGCGACTTTTGCGTCAGGCATGTATCTTCGCAGTTGTGTGTCGCAGAGCTTGTTGCATGAGCCTGAACGCCGTGCAGGCAGCACAACCACAGCACACTCGCTTGCCGCTGGTCGGCATGGTGTCTTGCAACACTGCATATGTACTGAAGCGTCTGCTGGGGCGACATTGTTCGAGCAATGACGTTGTGATCCATGGGCCACTCCAAGACGTTCCTCCCGCGCAAGCAACTGCTGAGTGATTGTGCAGGTTTGTTGCTTGGGCACAGCTTTAATGGATCCGCAGGAATCCAAGGTGCACCGCAATAGCTCTACCGCGTGTTGAACTGCTGAAGCAGCGTTTATCATGCGGAAGTCATGCAGCTTTGTATGCAGTTTAATGGCAGTGTCGCTGCAGTCGAGGACCCCGATAGATACTTTGGTCATGTCTCGAAGACAGCGTTGTTCATGGGACCGCTTTTGTGACCTGTCGGTGCACGCGCGCTCTTTTGTGACGTCTATGTACGCACCGCAAAGTTGCTGCGTGACGAGCCAGCTCACTCGGCCAGATGGCGGTAGCTATTCGGGACGAGTGAAGCTAAACTGAGTGTCAACACTTATGTCACTCGTTGTCTGAAGCACCTTTGAGCATTGGAAAGTGTATCGAGGGAAAGGAGCTGCCACTATGGATGCGGCCAAGGGTGCAGAAGGCGTCCACATACTAATACGAGCGTCATCATTCATGGGCAATGCGTCAGAGAAATTTCGTTTGACTGCTGTGCTTGTAAGTTCGCTACCATATACGCTGATATTCCTGGCTCGGAAACGATACAAAGTGCCGGTCCGCACGCCACGGGGGTCAATTCTAGGGGAAAGAAAAGGCCGATGTCGAGTCGTGTCAATTGCAAGCTTTCTTGGCAACTCGTCACGACTTGCTGTTTGTCCTAGTGATGCAACCGAAAATAAGAACTCTACCCCAAGTAGTGTATGTTGCTTCCCTGTCGCATGACTAGCAACATCGTCAATGTGTCGGTCAGGTGCAAGTGAACCAGTCAAAGGAGTTGACGTTTTTAGATCAACGAAGCCAACGATACCATATGTGTCAGACGAACGAATGTGAGCAGCAAGTATGACACTCGGTGAGGTGCTGGTTCTCGATGCGACATTGCTTTGAGACACAGCTTTTTCTTGTAAGCTTTGGCATGGACGCGACGTCTTAACGTGACCGACCACAGACAAGTTGTGTAACGGGGCACACCCTTGCGTAACTTAACGCAAGGGTTTTGAGTGCCCCGACAGACGTACACGTGGCAAGCGAGGAAGCGTAGGTAGGGTAAAAGTAGAACTGTTATATTAATAAATTAAGTCTTTAAACTACTGTCTCTTCGTTTGACTTAATTCAATTATACTAATATAACTGCATGTATGGTGACGTCTCGTCACCACTCATTGCGCGCGTCTTGCGGCGATTGGTGGGTTGATATCATCACGATATCAACCAATGAACAGACCCTTTGGTCGACCCTTCAATATCACCACTTTGGTGATATTGTTTTAAAGAATATCCATCTTTATATTCTTTATTGTCACTTTCCTTAAAGTGACAATTTCATGTAACGGGCTGCCCCGTTACATCACCCCCCCTTAACTGATAGTCACCGTGTGACTATCGAAAACATGGAGGCCACCCGTTGGCCACCATTGGGACTGGGAGCACTTGTTGGGTCCGTTCCATTCACTTTCCGCTTGACCTCGCATAGTTAACATGTCTATGCGAGGTGACTCAAGACCCACACAGCCTGGTGCTGTGCAAGCCTCTGCGGCAGACGCTTCGTCGTCTGCCGCCCCTTCTTCGCCTGCAGCAACAGGTGCTGCAGGTGCACGCGGTATCACACCGCGTGCGCACGATGACCCTGATGTAGAGGTCATCTACTCTGGCGAGTCAGACGTGTCTGACTCGGGCAATGCTCCAGAGGCGTCTCGCTCACCGGCGACGCCTCAGTATTCGCCAAGACCACTGCCGAACGAACGGACTCGTGATTTGCATCACAGTCTATTCGGCAGTGATGATGATGATGATCAGGGTGGTGAGTTCTATTCTTCACCACCGCCGGCTCGTGCGTCTTCGCACGAGCGTGATGACGATGGCGCGAGCCGTCGTCAATCTGGGAGCCGTGGTACCGACAAGGGTACCACTGTGAAGCGTGATGAGTTGAAGCCGTGGCGTTTGCCCGAACAACTCATCAATAGCCTGTCTCACGAGACAGGCCAACACCATCGAATACCCTTATTCGATGCAACCGAGCTTCACGGCCGGAGTTCCAGCGCGAAGAACTTTCGCGCTGAAGAAGATTTTTATCTCGATGTCTTTCTTAGACATCGATGGTACAACAGCAACCAAAAGCGTGACAAAACATCGCTTTTGGCTGCGTGGAACGCGTTCGTCCAAAACGTAAAGAATTTTGGACGAGAAGGGTGGCTCAAGAAACTTGAGGCAACACGCCTCAGGTTCGAACGGCGAACGCCAACCGGTGCTAGGTACCGGTTGCATTGTTTATCGAGTGAGGCAGGCATTCCTTGCCTCACATGGGGAGACCCTTGTGCGAGTTGTGTTGACAACTCGCAGCGTGCACATAGGGATGTGTACTCCCTAAATTCGCCCTTGGGAAGGGCGCACATCTCGGCTGAGATGCGTGACGCGATTGCAAACTTGCAATCCGTCTACAAGCGCCTAGGGCGCGTGTTTACCGATGGGCCACAGGACTCATCGGATGGGTCTCGTCATACTGGCGGACAAGACCTTCAACATCCATCAACAGCTGAGAGCGGGGCTCCCAGCTGTTCAAAGAGGGTGGATACCCCCGCCACTGGACGAGGTAGCTCGTCCTTGATCCTGAATCGTCACGGTGATTCAAGATACGCTCCACTAGAAAGCGTTGATCACCGTGAGCATCCACCAAAGGATGTGGTAGAGGAGGAAAGACCTCCTCCAGATGATTCTGTTCACCATCTCGACCCTTACAAGATGGATCGCGCAATCGATGAATTGCGCGATGACTTGAAGCACGAGCGCGTTCGGCGCTACGCTTTGACCGATACCGTGCGGAAGAACCGCAAGGGTCACGAGGCTGATCGGGCGAGGGATCGCGCCGGTTATGCCACGGCGCAGCTTCAGGTCGAGCGGGATGTCCGCTCCCTATTCGGCGAGCTGGCGACAGCTCGCGGGGAGATATCTCGGTTGAATACCGAGGTATCATATCTGCGCGACCTGACGGATCGTCTGGAGCGCGAACGCAAGAACTTGATGGATGTTCTTGAACGTGGGGGCTGTCTTCATCGGAAGAAGAAGGCTCGTACTGACAGTACGACCTAAGCCTCCCCACGTAAAACGTAGGATGCGTGCGCATCCTACGTGGCAATTCGAGTGTGTATGCATTGCCCTTGCGATGCAACACTCGAAATGGCCCAATGTATTTCGGCAGTTGTTTGCTACTGCCGACACTAGTGACTGCATGTCTAGGTAAGTTTACCGTTGACAGTAGTACTAGGTCGTTAACCTTAAATGAAAGAACATTTGCTCTTCCATTCTTGTCTGCGTTCCGTTTCTGACGGTCCACCGCATTTGCGATGGAGTCCTGAACGAAACGGACTACCGCTTCTCGAGTCAGCAGGAAGTTCTCTGCTGACTCTTTGTTTTGTCTGGCAGTGCGCTTCGTGCGCACTGCTAAGAGATTGCTCTCTTCTTCATCGAGGTTGTCTTCTTCCTCGCTGACATAATCGTTGACGATGCTGAATACACCAGCATCGTCATCATCATCCGAATCAATAATAGCGTCTTCGCTATTATTGAGATGATCTTCTTCATCGATGTCGACTTGATCGACATCGGCATCATACGTGACGACGTTTGCGTCGACACGTGATGAGCAAGAGCCAAAACGGTTTTTGCTCGAGCGAGTCCCTCCCCCCTTATC